TTCATCCGACAGATTCTACAGTTCTCGCACTCAATCAAGAACCATGCATCGAGCCCCAACTTTCCCAGCGTCAGCTCCGAATTCCGACAGGACATCACAGCGCCTGTTATTCATCCCAAGGCTAGAACGCATGGCGATATCGATCCTCAAGTCGTTGAGTTGGCTAAGAAGGGTATCAAAGCGCTCATTGAAAGCACCCGTGCTTTCCACGGTCTGGGAGATAGGAGGCCGATCATCACCAATATTTTCGGCACAGCTCACGCGTAAGTCTTTCGTCTTAGACTGACGCGCCTCAAACTAACCACCACGCTCTAGCCAATGGGGTAATCTGTTGATTCTATCAGCTGCATTCCGTGACCCAATCCTTCACACCTATGTAGATGAGGAACTACTTCGAACACTGTTCCACAAGACGATCCAGTTTTTGCGACAGTCGGCAACGGCAACGAGCGCACTTCGAACTGACATGCATATCCTTGAAGGCCTACAGAGAGATCTTTTCAGCTATGATCCGAGGACCAACTCGAGCTTCTCGAGCGGCACAAGCGCACCTGGCTACCATACTCCAAGACCTGTTCCCATGGCCGCGCCGCCTCAGATGCCACATCAGATGGGTGATCAAGGACACCCACGATCTATGCCCCATCATTTGCAGATGAATTCATCACACGGGCAGTGATAGAGTCGACGATATTTGCCGCCGTGATTGGGAAATCTATATTGATGACTTTCATTATCATTTATAATCATCATGATGACATGGCGTTTGGGGACTGATTCATACGCGCCATAAGAGACCACGAAGGAGTGCCATTGTTTTGGCAGGTAGTTATTAGACGCTCAGTCAAACGAAATGGGCTCGACGGACAGAGCGACTATACCCCCAGGTGCATGGATTGCGCCTTTTTCCATGGCGACCGAGAAGAAACATGGGCACATCGCCATGCCAAGCACGGGTGTTTTGGATCGGTTCTAGCTTATCCAACGCCTTCTCTTGACTCGCCCCAGTGCACTGTATCACTAGCAGTGTACAACAAAAAGAACACCTCCTTGGGGTGCAAACCCCAACCTCGAACACAAATCCTGTTGTATATACGCCGACGGATGTTTGTTGGTTTGGCCGGTCATTTATTGGTTTCTGCTTATAGAGAGGCTTCCCTGTCGTTTGTATTTTTGAACATTACAAGATCTGCATTGCATGGCTGTTTTATATGGCAAATGATTTTTGTTAATGCTGTTTTTGAACACAAAATCATGGATCTCAATTTCCTTGTTTTACATGGAGGGATTTGGAGGAGATACCACTCACGGTTGTTGAGCATACTGCAGTACATATTGGATCGAAAGGAAAGGGGGAAACACGTGCATGCTCACAATCGTTTTTTCTTTCTGGATGTTTAGAAGCATTGCCTCCCAAAAGGGAGTTGAATTATATACAAAAATCTATACAATATTATGACCTTGTTCATCCTTACTGGGTTGTTGAACACAACAAGAAGCGTGGAGCGACTGTGAATACCAATGACGCCATTGAGGCCCTCGTACTTTAATCCTTGTTCCTCTGCTGCATCCCACTCATTACGTGCAGCATCTCGATACAACAAAACAAATCGCCTGCCCCTGATTGCATATGGGAGGGAGATGCGTGGGGGAAGCACTGTTTCTGCACCCAATGGAGGTGGTACAGACCTTCGGGTACGTACCGGGGGTCTACGTTAGGTCTAGGTTACCTACTACTATAGGTACCTTGTTGAACACCCCCCCGCCAAAAGAAAAGTCTTCTAGAAGGTCAGGGCGTTTCTGTTTCGGCGATTCCGTGCATGTTTCTAGAACGTCTAAAATGTGAAGGGGGAAAAAGGGGGAGGGGCAGATTCACCGCGAAGGCGGAAAAAGGATGACAGTTTTGACTCAGTTGAACCTCTAGTAGTGAATCAAGACATTTCTCTCAGCACCATCTGAGTTTTTGTGTCTCAAACGAGTCATTCAGGCGACTCAGGGTTTCCCTCCACTTGTGGACAATGGCTTTTGCCATGGGGAAAAAAGCAATTATTCTTACATGTCACAAAGATTTACTGTAGGGGGCCAAAACACGAGGAAGCATGAGGAGGATAAGCATTGGCTGGGAGCCTCAAGAGGGCCACAGTACTTAGGTATGAAAGTCTTACTACATGGACCGGTGAGCCCACTACATAGTGCCATGTCTAGGCGGTGGGCGGTCAATCATAATTCACACTGAGGGTGAAGCTCTTGCAAAGACGTTTGTCTCTGCCCCGAGACTAAATGGAATTGAGCGACATTCGCTGGATATGTACTGGTACAAGACCAGTGTCAACCAATCCTTGTTGTTCAAGCCCAACTCCTAAGCCTCAAGTATGCTGGCTGTATATGACCCGAGACCCTCTGACTCGGACAGTTCTTGGCTGTCGTCATCCCAGCTATCAGCGACCTTGTTCTTGCTCTTGACTGCAGTTGTTGGTAAAGCTAGACAGAGCCGCAAATGGTCATCGTGTGCCCGGGGGTACAGCGCTCTTAAGATATCTTGGTCAGTGGCAAGTCTCGATCTGGTTTATCCGAAAGGTGATGTTTGATGTCAAGTTGCAGACAGCCTTTGAAGATAGATAACGTCTCCTGGCTTTCAGGGACTAGGGCTGCTTGGGCAAAAACTGGAATTCTGCGAAGGGAGGTATCAGAAGATGTCCGAGCTGCTCTGGCACCAAGGGCCGAGTTTTGCCGTACGGGAATGCGGTTGAAACGTGCCTTGGCATCAGCATAGAACGACCCTCCTGAGTAACGTCAATTTCCTTGGAAAGATAATAGAAGTAAACGCCACGAAGTATCAAGTGCCACGCAAACACTGATTTTCCGGCAAGAAACAGACGGCTTACGTTGCCTGAAATGTTTCACTACTGCTCTCTTTCACGACAAGAGATTTTGCCGCCTCAGTTACTCGGTCGAGAAATGCAGATGATGTTAGACTGACAAGCCATCGTCTGGTCCCCCTCCTAGGTATATCCGGCTTGGTGCTAGCAAAGCATCGACTGCGTTGAATGCAAACTCGGATTCATTGGTCGTAATAAGAAGTATGAGGAGATGTGGAATTAGAGTGGTTGGTATTGGGAATTGTCCTCTTAAGTCTGCCAGGTGTGAATATATGATGTTCTCGTGAACCCAATATTGGGAGACATGATTGAAGACGAAATTCCCTGGAAATCAACCCTCTTTGTCATTGCGGACTGCGCACATGGCTATTGAAATCAGCCGAACAAGTCTTGGTCTCAGTGAAACTAAAGGCCCAAAGGGTGCTTCTGGATCGAAGCTTTCCCAAGCATTGATATTTTGTTTCATTCAAAGCGGTCGTAATGGGAGACAAGTGCTAGAAAATCGTTGTGCACGTGGAGCTCATAAGACAGAGGGAAAACAGTTGTACAATGAGTCGTCGGTCTAAACTTTTCGCGATGTGAGGCGATCCCGAGCCTCCAGATTCATATCATCTAACAGAGAAACACTCCTGTATGGCATTAGAAGGTTCGCACGCTCGTAGGATTAATAAACGTACCGATCCTCGAGTGCAAGCACTAGATGCACCGACCTGAAGTTAGGGCTGATACTGTCACCCCGGTCCGATCACGGCACCGAGACGCTCTGAAAGATAAATTCTCACGAGGCTCACACCTGAGCTTACGAAGATCTAAATAACAGGCCTTATGAATGATCATGTCCACGTCATACGCTTTCTATGCCGGTAATATGGTTAAGCAATGCTTAAGCTCGTGGAGATATCCGACCGTGGCCGAGAGAGCAATAATAGGACAAGGCGCAAGCAGTAAGAGCTGTTACCATATAAAACCACCCTTAACCTGACCAATGTCGTAGACTTAATCAAAGGTAATCCGTTTCACTCGATGTGACCAGGGACGGCACCTAACAGCTTTGCCTGGGGCTAGTAACATTATTTTGCAGCATGCAAGACGTAATTACCCTAATCTGGCACTGGGCAGAATTGTTAACAAGTTATTCTCTTGTATAAATCGCCTATATCTATTTGCTAGCTTGTTGACGACAAATCTTAGGAAACCGTGCTTCCATCTGGGCAGAAATCTGAACGACGAGAGTCTTTGGCGACCCTACGTAAAGCAAAACCTCATCGTCACTCTCTTGAAAGAAATGAACGTTCTGCCATCAGATGTTAAATTGATGAAAAGCACACTTTCAATGGCATCGATTGAATGGAGAGCATTTCGTTGTCAGACATCTGGTTCAAACAGTATTCGTGCATCAGGCCGTGAGCCAAATCGCCTGCACATATCAGGGCCTGCATGTTCAAGCTGCAGAAATTGATGGCCTGATATCAGCTTCAAGTCATCACTCAAACCTTCTGTGTTGATGGAGAAAGGCGAGCAACTCGAAGATTCGCTAGCCTTGATGGGGAGTTTGGTAGCTGTCAGTACCTTGGCGATACCCTGACCAGCAATGGCGATGTTGGGCAAATAAGTAAGCGTCCGAGAGACTTCACAGAGGTATCTCTAGATCGTTGATATCAAGAATGGTCCCTAGACATCTTAGCAACAGAAGTATTTCAAGGAAACATCATAACTGACCTTCGTCTGTGTCGCTGTAATTTGGTTTCCTTCCTTGAGCCATAGTCTTACCATAGGGACAAGCAAACCTCTGGCCTCACTGCAGCAGAACACCTCGCAGATCTATAAGACTGAAACTTCAGGGTCTAGTGGTAAACGCCGAGGAGGCTCTTGGTATTCTCGAATTTACCGTACTTCGGTTGCTGGGGGCTAGAATATCCTTCGGATTGGACTAGGTTTTTTGGGCCGCCAAGCTTTTGGGCTTGAAAAGGCCAGACACGTCTTCCTTTTTGCTTGGGATAGGAGTTGACGATAACGGTTCCGCGTTTGAAGCTTTTGCCAACCAAATTGGTAGGGCTAGCAGCAAATGAAGCAACATCCTCCTCCATACGCGAATGCATTTGTCTGCCGATGCTTCTGAAGCTAAGAAGGGACTTGTTCGCGGCTTTTGATGTTGGTGGCAGATTTGAAGGAATCTTCGGCAACAGGGTCAATTGCCTCTTGTGCTTCATTGATCTGAACATCCTTCATGAAATTGCTGAAGACCGGGTGACTAGATGGGAACGCAGTCAAGCAGTTGAAGTCTTTCAGTGTGTAGTCGAAGTCTTTTGATGGTTGCAGTTCAAGAAAAGGCTGCCCTATATCAAGGCACAGTTCTTTGGCCGTTTCTACATGAAGAATACGCCCATAGTGCAGAAGGATTCCAGGAGGGATCTCGGATCATATGTGATCGTTTTGAGAGCATGGAAGTAGATTCGTCCATCAACAAAATCCAAAAGACCCCGTCCTTTTGTGTTCTTTCGACCCGGATGAGATTTCTAAGTCGTTTTGGGTTGCCCAGGTTTGCTCAGTCAGACAAAAGAACTGCAAGATGAGAGGAACAACGTCAATCTGTAGATTACTCGCCAGGATCTCTTGATAGCGGCCAAAAAAAAAAAAAAAAAAAAAAAGGTTCTGAGGGGCATAGTCCTCCGGGCGCAAGGCCCGGGGGTGACACGGTGGTCGGATGATGAAGCGAGGACAAAATGGAAGAAGAAGAAAGATGGGAGAGATAGAGATGATAAACAAATAAACAGAGAGTTGCCTAGGGACAAAAGTTGGCCCTTAGTAGATGGACCCCTTTCAGTGACAACAACACCATGTCAAGTCGAGGATGTCTTGGAGTTGAATCGCCAGCACTGATCGGGTTGTCTCGAACTGGATATTGCCTTCACGGGCAGATATGCACACTACGATCAACTAAACGCACTGTGAGTGCAATTGGTCCAGATTCAACGACAATTTTGCTGGATCCCACTTGCTTTAGGTAAAGATATGGATGTGTCTTGATCGGCTTTGGAAACTCGATTCACTGCAATCCATAGCGATACGATATCATAAGATTGACGTCTATCAAGTCCGATTGAGGTCTTCCCATATTGAAAACACAACCTAGCAAGTATCAGAGAAGTTATATTGGGGCCACTGGAAAGTTTAGAGGGTTCACTGCTGTCTGAGTTACTATCGAAAAGGTCGCAGTTCTTGCCTGAGTCCTGGCAAGCGTTGGAGATGGTGCCAGTGTCGCCATAATTAGTATTGACTAAGAAATTGTTAGTCACGAGCTGGACTGATGTCTCGGATGTGACTTACTACCGCAGAGAACACCGCCGTTGACAGCAGCAGCGTTGTCAGTAACAACATTCCGGGGACCGTAGTTATCCTTGCAGTTACCACAAGATCTCACAAGCTTGCCTTAGTCTTCGACTTAAAAGTCGGAGATCTCGTAAGTGCCGCGGCCGTTAAACTGAACAACCTTATCGGCGGCGTGAAAAGCACCTCCTCCACAGATGGCGGAGGTGCCGGACTTTTGCTTTAGAGTGATGGCATCTTAACAAACGTCTCTAAACCAGAAGTCTTCAAGAGTGCAAGTTCCCTTACAGTCAAGGCCCTCAGTTTGATCAGGTCCAATAATAACATTGCGGAGAGTAGCACCATCCTCGAGAATGAACATGGCATCAGCCTCGCTGGTCTCCACCTGATCCTAGCATATGGCCGCTGAAGAATGTTAGTGAGAAGGGGTGTAGCCGAGAAGACCAAACTCACGGGAACGATCATAGTATGTAATTTTGCCATCGAATTCGCCAGAAACAGGGATGGCGGTAGCAGCAGCACTGGCACCGCTGGATGCGGGAATGGCTCGTGTGATGCCTCCAGCTCCTGAACCAGATCCAGAGCTTGCATCAAGAGTAGCGACAGGAGCTTCAGTTAGATTACCTACGAGGTCATTGATGGAGGTCTCAACAGGCTTCTTGCTAGACTCGTCAGCCTCCTTCGCTAGCGCTGAGACAATGGAAGGAAGAGAAGCAAGCATTCTAATCGTTCCTGCCACCGTTTTGATTGCCGCTGCCGCTACCAAGAGCCTCAAGGAGCCTAGGGAACTCAAAGCTAGGGAGATCAACATCAGACTTCCCGACAGCAGCCTTAGAAAAGGGGCCAGTTTTGGCATCGGGAATACATTGGCTGTGCCACTTGCTGGCTTCGACGCATGTGGAACCGGAGGGACATTTGGTGTCTCCGGTGCAAGCACCACCACCACACTAGCTGTAGAACTGTGGAGCGACAATGGTGAGAAGCGCAACTTTTCGATTGTCGGTAATGATTAAACAAGTGATCACTTGAACGAGAATAAAGTGGCAGAGGTTAAAGAATGTGGGTTTGCGAGCCTGCCCGGGACTGCCAAAGATGAAAGAAAGTAGCAAGGAATATTTTGCTGGGCTACATGTTGTTTGTCCATGCCTGACTCCTTATAAAGGATTTCTGTCATGCAATGACACCGTCCCGAACCTCCAACCGCAGGCCAGTCAATCCTGGGTAAGGAGCATTTAATGACAGACAAACCGCTGCCAGTTTGTCACTGAAACCTTGACAAGGGGAAGCTTATTCAGGGTATACACTTCTCGCCATCTAAGTTAAGGCCTAGCCTAAGCTTATTCGGAGGGTCTGATAGCCGAGTTGGTTGGAATGGCGGACTTGTCCAGGTTTGACAGCTGTGATTGACATCCTGGTTGATTTGAAACGGATAGAACAAAGAAAGTAGGCCATCTGTTCAACTATGGAAAGCCCATAAAAGCCATAGAAGCCAGATAAGAGCCAAGTGTAAACGATTTCATCTGAAACAGGAAGAGTAAAGCGGCATCCCGTGATGTCGGACGAGGGAAGTTTGCGGTGGTATTCATGACTAGAAGTTGAAAAGTTGCATTCTTATGAGAAGTACGAAGTAGCAAGGCCAGGTTGATTCTTGTTTTTGGGGGTGGGTCCAGATATGCCTTGGTGCTAATGACTAGGGTATTTGTTAACCACCACCAATGAAGGCTGAGTATCAAACAAGGAACTTTGTTTAGGTTGGGGTTCTTGGTCCGAAAAGGCAAGGGCCTATCGAAATTATATCCAGGAGCTACAGCTTGAAACGGAGAGAGTTTAGAGGCCCTGTAGAGGGAAAGACACTCTTAGAAGCACCAACCAGTGAGCGAATAATTCTATCTCTCTCTGCTTTATTATGCTGGTAGTGTTTGGAATACTGTCCAAACTATGTTCCTGGCTCTGGACTTGGGCGGTTCTAGGGACCCGGACTAAGTATCAGACGCATCTGCTTGGTCTGCGTGCTTACCTGGTCTTTCTGCAAGTTGTCCGATAATATTGACCTTGCTTTTGCTTGAATAGAATGAATGGTTCCAGATTGATGAAGATGTCCCTGCTGAGGATTTCCTCGAAACGCATGTTGCATTGATAACTCTAAGTACAAGCTGCATTTTTAGACTACTTGAGTCGAAGAGCAATGTCTAGGTAGTCTGTGGAGAAGCTTGACTGATTTGGGCCATTGGCCAAGCTTTTGTAAATTCTTTGGGCAAACATGAAGAACCTTGGATGAATAATCAGTCAAGGTGTCCATACTGGGTACGAGTACCTACCTTAGTTACCTACCTACCTATCTGATGCATTGAGTGACACTCACGTGCTTCATCATGTGACCATTGTAAGCTCTTCCACAAGCTTCTTCCCCTTTTCATGTAGATCAGCTAAAGGGGTGACAGCAATGACGCCACAATCCACATCGCGTTTGGGAAATCGACATTTGACACGACGATTCGGCTCAAAAAACAGTTATTAAGATGCACAAAATTCATGTTGAGCGCAATTACAAGTGAACAAGCATTGTCACGAGAGCAGTTGCCTGTCTCATCTAAGGTGTCATGGCGATGGTCCCTAGCTGCGCTATTAAGTTTTGAGATTACACTCCTTTTTTGACACGAGAAAGCTGGGCCACTTTTTTAATTAGACGGTGTCGTTCGTTGCATCCAGAGCTATAGGGGAACTCGAGAGGAATAAAGCAGTCCATGGCTTATCTGTAGACATCAGCTTATCCCTCTGTCCCAGCCTTGATGAATGCATCATGCCTTGTTTCTTGTTTCTGCTCTTTACCTTATCAATCATCATCATATATCGCCTCCGATGACGGTATCCTCAGAGTCTCGCATATAAAGTGCTGGTGTAAGGCGAGCCAAGTTTTGGAACCCCAGATTTTTACAGGGAGTCTTACGCCCCAAATCCAATCAGCTTTGGAGAAAGTCCAGACCCAATTCAAGACCCGGTTTTTTTCGCGTCAACGTGGAACTGCTTCGGTAGCAGTAACCGTTTTTCTCCAGGTTAATAAACCACTAACCTAACCAACTGCTACAGCAGTTCCAGGTCGCTTCCCCGTCTCGCTCCTCAGCACGCACATAATTAAGACCATACTTACCTAGGCCCCTACTCCTAAGGTCTCTCTCATCCTCTCCCACAACCCGACCCGACTCCGAAGCCACGTCATCTTCCCCCAACAGTCAAGTCAGTGCCAGTCTTACCTATCAGCCATGTCTTCGCCATCGAGCTCATCACAGGGCGGGAAGCGCAAGAGAAACTCTCTTCGCGCGGAGTCAGCCGCTGATCTTGGTGATAATGGCATCCAGACATCCTCTCGTGATGCCTCTGGTGAAGAAGGAGACACAACAGCCGCTGAGTCGGGGCGACTTCACAGCCGAGGATCAGCTGTCGGAGGCCCAATTCCTAAGAGACAGCGCTCTAGCTCGGATCGTGTCCTCGAGACAGCCGCTGACCATGCTCTGGATCCTGGCGAGCCAAGCGACACGACAGAAGCCAGCATCGACATTGCTGAGCGAGTCGGTCGCAAGGGTCGCAAGCCTTCTCTGAGGGAGCTTGACGAAGAGGAGCAGCGAAGAATTGAGGCCATGCCTCCTCCTCCCATTGGCAAGCTCCAAGATCCTGCTGGTGGCTACAAGACGAACCCACCTCCTGTTGGCCGACCTGTTCGTGTATACGCTGATGGAGTGTTTGATCTCTTCCATCTTGGGTAAGTCAAAGAACCGACTTCTAGAAACTGAGCCGTCTGCTAACCACTCTTTAGCCACATGCGACAACTCGAGCAAGCCAAGAAGGCCTTTCCTGACACAACGCTCGTCGTTGGAGTCACAGGCGACCACGAAACACACAAGCGCAAAGGTTTGACTGTCATGTCTGCCGCTGAGCGTGCCGAAACACTCCGCCACTGCAAATGGGTCGATGAAGTAATCGAGGATTGCCCATGGATTGTTACACCCGAATTTCTCGACGAGAACAAGCTCGACTATGTCGCCCACGATGATCTTCCTTACGGCGCGGACGAGGGCGACGACATCTACCAGCCCATCAAGGCTGCTGGCAAGTTCCTTGTCACACAGCGAACAGAAGGTGTCAGCACAACTGGTCTCATCACAAGGTATGCCAGCGAGCACCCATGCCATCCAACATGCTAACAATTCACAGAATCGTTCGCGACTACGAGAAGTACATCGCCCGACAATTCAAGCGCGGTACTTCCCGCCAGGAGCTCAATGTAAGCTGGCTCAAGAAGAACGAGCTGGATCTCAAGCGACATGTTCAGGACCTGCGGGAAAATATCACAAACAACTGGACCACTACTGGTCAAGAACTCGGTCGTGAGCTCAAGCAGTTCTGGCCTACTAGCCGTCCTCAGAGCCCTGCCCGATTTAACAGTGCAGGCAGCTCGGAGGCACTACGTTCCCCAGGTGCTTCTGGTACACCTAAAGAGTTCATCACTGGCTATGCTCTCGGTCTTGTTGGTGGTGTCCGAGGATGGGTGAGTAGTGGACATGCCCACAGTTTCCACCTCAAGCTAATGATCGTCTAGATGACCAAGAGCCGAGGCAATGTCACCGATAGTAGCCGACCCCCCAGCGACGATGAGTCTGAAGAGAGTGATACACACGCAAAATCACCAAAGGACTCATCAAACACTCCAACCGCAGCTGCAGCTGCTCCTTCGAAGCTATAAATGAAGATGTATGGCCACGCAGATTGCAAAAGTGGGAGATTGGTTAAAAATGTCCAGCGGGAAGAGGAGGCAGGGCCACCACGATAGGGACAACAGATGTTTGTGTAATGGACTTTGGATTATTATTTTAATCAGTATTCGGCTGTGCGCTTTAATACAGGACCGGTACACAAGGCGTTCTGGCTTGTTTTTTATGTATCGAATGTTTTTCGCGACTACGGTGTAACTTTGGCGCAGTATTGAATGCGGATTCTTCTTGTGTAAGGTAGCTGCGGGATTGTACGACACTTGGGCGAAATAATCCGACGAGTATGATTGAACAGTTCACTTGTTTCGACAGTCTCATTTTTGTGACATTCTCGCATTCTTAGGACCGCCTTGCTACGGCCTACGTCTCTGCAGGTACAATCCTTTGGTTCGGGAGTTTATTTCGAGCCCCTCGTTGCTGACATGATAACTATTGTTGTACAGCTAACTAAGCCAATATGCATGGCCCCCTCGGTGAGGCTGAAATTTGGAGCAAATCATGAGCCGAATCTCTTCTGGGTATCTAGCTTTCCGGATGGCGCAGGCACTCAAATACCACAATCTGGGGGCGCCTGCGCTTAGGCGCCTAGGCGGCTATACTGACAATTGAGCTCAGTCAAATGATTACTGCGACACTGGATGATCAGAAGTAACGTTTCAGCAGATGAGACCACTTCATCATGACAAAGGTGGTAAATTGGAGTTTGAGGGGATATCTGGTAGAGCTTGTCGATCGTACAGTCAGCATCAGTCTGCCTCGACCTAAACGATCGACATTAGGCAACAGGAATCTCTCCACTCCTTGCAATGCAATGTAGAAAGCGGTCCCCCGGCATGTACAGGAGAAACCTGATTGCAAATGGAGATGTCGAAAATGTCAAGCTCCTAGATGCCAATTGTTCGTACTAGGCTGCGATAGGTCAATGATACGATCAAGGGTGCGCGGATAAACGTCCGAATGGAGATGACCCCCACAAGGGTCATGAAGATTTCGGCCAGTACTTAAATGGGCGACTACCTACCTAGGTAGTTCATAAATCAAATTGCGGTGTATAGGAAGTTGGAGGCATGTGGTGAGTGACAGGCAACAGATGCCAAGTCAAGGGGTGTGTCCCATGTGTAGATCTGCTTCCACTTGTAGAGGAGCACATGCGAATCAGACCAGACATGCATCGGTGCTGAAAAGTTAGTTGTCAACGTAGGCATGTCTACAACGTAGTGACGGGATGAGTTCATGTAGCATCTTAGCGAGACCTTGGCGACAGAAACAGGGTAGATTTCGTGCAAGATCTGCATTGGGAAAAGCCGCTTCTTCTTGTCAATGTATTGGTCCAAAAGAGCCTCTAAATACAAAAATAGTCGGGATCCAAGCGCCGGGGGCTTTTTCCTTCCCCCCAGATATGAATCTGTGGTTGCAACAAACAGTTCTACGAGTCCTGTGGAGGACTTCTATTAAGGAATATTCTCCGCGCGGGCCGAATCCTACAGAGTCTTGGCCTCAAAATCCGAAAAAGGTCGTTTATACTGGACTTAGTGTGCGGAATGACATATGGTAGACAACGAGATGTGACGATCTAATTTTGGGAAAGAAGCACAACCCTTGAACAGCTGGCATCGCGGAGTCTCGTGGACGTTGTTATTTCCTATTTCCATTTCCAGCCAAAAGGCGGGGAGAAACAGCGTGGAACGTGGAACGGTCCGGCCCCACATTTCATATCCTTTTGCTCGGGACGAGCACAACAGTTTGTTTCCGACTCAGATTCATTTTAATATTCGACCTGTCAATAGGTAGCTTATGGGTCGATGAGCCGCAAGGCGTTGAAGTAATTGACTCGTCGATCTGTATCCGTAAATTAAAGAATGCCTCGTCTCTGATTAATTAATTTGTCGATCACAACAAGCATTATCATGACACTGCTAACTTTCTGCTTGAGCTAGCGCATCACTGAACAAGCAGATTTTGTCTGTGCAGAGCCCAACAGGCGCAGCCAAGGAGGTAAAAATAGGTCACCTCAGGTCATCATGAAATATTGGCCAATCAGCCATTGAGTGGCTGAGCTGTGGTGTGTCTGCCCTGGACTTTTGTTTGGCTACCCTAGCGCCCAGCAAGGCTGGGCTAATATCACCCTTGTGCGACAGACAGGGATACGAATTGACGCTACCAGGGGAAAGAATCCAACATTCCAAGTAATGTTTCAATACATACGGAGTACGGCTGCCATGAGAACGGGATACCGGTATCGAGATCAGTATGCGATTCGGTTTGAATGCGGGTGATATTGAAAGCTCGGTTAAAAAGCTTAGACCAAACCTAACATACCGACCAACATAACCATGTGGACCACCTATGGACAATGGACAGCGTTGTAACGGCGCGGGCCCTATGAGGCTGGTCGGGCCATGCCATTGGGATAAGCACTTGTAAGGTTGGACGGACCCAGGGTTTCCAAGGACGAGTTGCTTCACAATCGAAGTGATGAAAGTAACTGAAAAGAAACCTTTCAAAGAAACACCATATAAAAGCAGGGCCAGCAAACTCAATAGATGATATATCGGTAATATCGGGACCAGACTCATGGGAATGCTTACCAAGTCGGTACCTTGGGCCAAGCCCGGGCTCTCAGGTAAGCCGGTACCTGTCACTGATGCAAGCAAGAGCTACTGGAAGGCACATTACAGTACCTCCCGAGGTACCTGTCGGCCGCCTTTCGTCCTCTCCCCAGCTCATTTTCTTCCACTTAACCTTTCTAGACACAGCCTCTTCTATGGGATCTTTTTGCTTTCCTATCATCCATGTACGCATCGTTGCTGATCCCTGTCAGACAACCACACCCATTCCAAATGCGCGATGTCATGTCTGTTGTCATTCTGGAGACATCAAGCCATGATCGGTTCTAGCTTCTAGAGCAGCCACCAACAGGCGCCTTGACGCCATACCCGCCCGACCGTGCCCACGCCCATGCCCACGCTTGTGCCCACGATGTCTCAGTGCCCAGATACAGTACAGATGCAGATGCATTGCTTTAGCTTCCTGTGAAACTGGAGCTCCAAAATCAATTTTAACCCTAGTGCCCGAGCTTCCCCTAGTTCCAGCTCGAATTTCTACGCCTCTGTGCTGCTGTTCCCGTGCTGGTATTCTTGGATTCTTTCATGTGCAGCGGTATTCCCTTTTCTCAATGCAACCATTCTTACTGATCATCGCCGCCATTCTGTCTCTCTTCACAAAGCATTGGATAGGTCTGCGCCAACTACGTCTAAGCGCGAGCTACCACCCGCAAGCCATCGGATCGGTCGGGGATGAATAGTGTCTTTTTGGTACGGTCCCACACCTGGGCGCTAGTTGCTCGATCAGGTACCGTTCCTTGAAGGCTTAGATGGCGCTTGCGGCCCCGTCCCGCCACTTGTCGCATTCTCGACGAACAGGGAGCGGCAAGCATGCGACAAGGGTCGATGTGAGAGGGTGGCACATGGACAAGCCAAACCAAACAATGGGATGGACTCCCACTGTCCCAATCTTTTGGTGTCGAGGACGCTTTAAGCACTACGTACGGTAATCAAAGAGGCAGACAAGTGCCTTGCATCAGGCGCATCTCTTGTTTTCCCCTCCACCTCACCTCCTTCAAAGCATCTAATCTTGTCCATATCCATGTTTCAATCCATGCATCAACTCCCCTGTCCTGCGCCCCATACTCAGCTCGCAGGGTTTGTCTTCAACCTTGGGTCAATCACATCGACATCCCCATACCTCCATGTTCTAACACTCTCTCAAATAATCCTGCCCAGGCCTAACCCAGCAATGCCTCTCCTGGTTCCTATCTTTGTACCAAGAGTAAATATCTCACTTGCACTGAGCCCCATATTCACATCTGCATCCCTGCTAAACACTGGGCTTGCTCTATTCGCCAGCCTTAGCCGTCTCTACCTCTTCCCGTCTGTGATCTTTGCTTCAATTCTACACCAACTCCCCCACTATTACTCCCGCTTGCTGTTCTATACCCTCATCGCCCACCTTCTTTACATGAGCCTAAAGCGTCCCATCTGCCGGGACTTGTTCATACGCCTCCCTGGGGGCTGTGCCTTACTAAGTTTGGCTTGTCCATCTACAATTTCTCCGGACTCACTGCCTCTTTTGATTTGTGCTCCTGTTCTCAACTCTGGGCCATGGCTAGTCTCAAGAATATCATGAATACCGACGATGAACACGTCGATTCAAGTTCCGGAACCCGTTCCGTCGGTTTGACTTCAAGACCACCCTCTACCCACAGCCATGCTACTACATTAAAACATCCACCACCCTCCTCCTCCTCCTCCTCCTCCCGTAACAACAGGCCTGATATTCCTGTCTCATCCATGACATCTTCTCTCGATGGTCACCCGTCGTCACCGAAGCCCAATATCAACATGACTACCCGACGCCGCAGCAACGCAAGTGTCGACTCCAACGAATTCTCCTACCAGCCTGGCCCATCATCTCACACTCCCATGAGGCCCTTCGCCGGAGCAGCCACTGGAGAGGCACACGTCAAGTTGACTCCTATAACCAGAAAGATTAGTAAGGCGAAGAAAGGTGTCCCGGTTCACACATGCAATCAATGTCCCAAGGTATATTTCTTCTTTCTCTACCATCTTCACGTCTAACTTTCACAGACCTTCTCTCGGGCAGAGCACTTAAGGTTCGTGGTCTTCCCCGAAGCTAAAAGATGTTTCTAACAATGGATACAGACGTCATCAACTCAGTCACTCAGCTCCTGATCTATTTTGCCCGGTCGAAAACTGTAATAAGACTTTCCATCGCAAGGACCTCCTCGACCGTCATGTCCAAAGACAGTACGTTAGAAGAGTGGCACCCGGAGAGCTTCGAGACTAACAAGAGTAGTGAGCAAGATGGTCAAGATGTTAAAGACCTGAAACATAACCGTCAAGGCAGCCCGAAAACACCTAGCTTGCCCTCTGCAGACTCTGGACCAGAACCAGGACTCAAGATGCCTGAAGTCTATAGACACCCTCGAGCAGTAACCGCAAACAGCAGTTCGAGTATGGTCGGTCCATGGTCATCAGTGGCATCGACATCTGCTCCTCATCAGGTCTACAATCCGCCGCCAACCGTGAACAATTCCTCAGACAGCTACCCCATCGGGCCAAACAACTATGTACTCCATACACTACCAACGAACGAAAATTTTGTAGCAAGCTATTCGGAACCAAGAAACATGTCCATCTCTATTATATCATCCATCCCTGAGGAAGCACCCCCGGATCTAGGCTGGCCTGAAAGCTCAATGTCTTCATCAGCTCCTACAAGCACATTCTCGACTCCCCCAGATAACACAAGGCGCTCACAGTTCTCCGTGCCAACAACGAACGGGTCTTGGATGACCGCGACTCCAGCTTACCCAAATACTGCAAATGACATCACTGCCAGTCTGGATAGCAACACATACCCTGGCTCGTATTCATATACCGATACTCCACCACAAGCGTACCCTTCTGTCTTTGGCGATATGGATCTTGCATTACCTGGATACTCTGAAGGCCCTTCTTTCAGCACCACCAATCAGATACCTATTCCCACAGTTCGTAGCATGTCCCCCTCATTAGCTGTCGCTCAATCTGAGACTTTAGTAGCTGTCTCCTCGCTGCCAACGTCAGATGGAGTTTTTGGATTGGGGGCATGTAGCTCTGGGCCTTCGGATGGCAGCTTATTGAGTACTCCTGATTCGATGCCACTATCTCTCCCTGCAGCAACGAGAGACTCAATTCCGACATACTTAGAAACCTACTGGGAGCATGTCCACCCCAAGAACCCCATCATACATAAGTACACTTATGAGGATGTACCAGAGGAGGAGACAGAGCAAGTACAGGTCCTCCAATGCGCCATGGCTGCTCTAGCGACACAATACATCCCTAACGCAGACGACCGCATGAAGGGAGCTCAGCTTCATGCATACGCCTGGCAAAAGTCAAAAGTGGTGAGTTGAGAGAACAGGAGCTCGCCAAAGGAGCAGTCGACAATCGACCGGTGCTGATACACTTAGTTTACACAAGCTGAAAAGTGGTCAATACCAGTACAGCAAACTATTGCACTTTGCGAGTATTACGCTCGGTTCCGTGGTAGAAAGCCACATTCACATCAGCCCTCTGCTCGGTTCACTGCACTTTACCACAGGGTTAGTCCGCGTGATTTCTTTTGATTATTCCTCCCTTTATTTCTTTATTTCTTCCGTTCTTTTCTTCTTCTTCTTCTTCTTATTCTTCTTCTTCTTTCCGTCTTCTATTATTTATCTTTCTCTTCTATTGGAAAAAATTTAAACATCGTGTCTTTCTTTTCGACCTCATACCCCCCTCGAATACCTGGCTCAACTCCCGATAGGTTTTTAATCATCACCATGAATCTCCTTCTGGCTCTTCGCCCCAAGGTCAGTCGGTTTGGAAGATCTGGGTTGCTGCAGAAACTCAACGACGACTGCTGGCTGCCTGCTTCCTCCTGGATGTCCACAGTTCACGGTATCATCAACGACCGTATGTTTCCGCCATTGGCCTGGACTACACTGCTCCGGACACTCTTCCTATTCCACTCACAGCAACAACGACAAAATCTTGGGAAGCACATGATCCTCAAACATGGACACGACTACGGGCAAGAAAGGACCTGAGAACTATCTCAAGCATCAACATGAGTACACTCTCTGCCACTGATGTAGCATCTCTGCCTGCCTTTGACGCGGCAATCTTGCTTGCAGCATATTCATTATTCATTTCGTGCCGTCAGAACCCAGCACATATTGGCGTGATGGATGGTGCACTGAACTTTGAGTCGGAGAGAATGCTTATGTTAAGGGTATTTCCCGACTCGGCAGCTGCTAGTACCTACCTAGCCCTTCACTACACACCTCTTTACTACCTATTATCAGTATCTGGGCAGAGCTGGGTCTTTAACAAGAAGGTGACGGACTTCAATATCTTTGCGGAACACCAGAGGTTACTAGGCGAATGGTGCAAATCTAGCACAGCTGCGATCGCCACTGTTTTTGCTGCCCGTGCTTTGAGCATCTTCCTTAACCTCAAAGCTTCATCCGATCAGGGAGAAGACAGAAAAGGAAAATCCAACGAGCAACAAGTAGTGCATTGGAAAGATATTTCGGACTACTGGGGTGTTTACGTTTGCTCGTTGATCTGTTGGGCCTTTGGTATTGAGAATAAACAGGACAAGGACAATACCAAAATTTTGCCAAAAGCTCCAAAGCAGTGGATATTGATAGTTGCAGATCTGGAGCCGTCCGAGTTGCAAGCTCAGAATCACCGCAGTGGGGCTCAAAAGGTTGTAAGTCTCGTGAAGGAAGTGTTGGAAAACGATTGCTTGGGCGGAGGAAACATTCTTTTTGCAGATGCCGTGAACGTTTTAAAACAACTAGAAAGGGGGGCATCTGCCAGGCCGTGCCCAGATGTTTGAGAGTCTAGCGTTCATGAGGGACCATGCCCTATTTGTTCCTTCTCTTATTTATATATTTGTTTTGAGCTGACCGCATTGATGTGATATGAGAAATGCGTGTAAGTAGGGGTTGAGTGGTCGGAAGAGATGTGGATTTGGGAGTGAAGGATGCATGCATTGGTTGAAGGAATCATAGCGTAGGGTTGCAGAAGGAAACGATGCCTTTTATGTTCTGAACCTTTCACAAGCATGTACACAACCATACGTGACATATGAATGGCGGGAAGGTGTTGAGTTTGTCTCAGTAGGGTGATCAACTGAGACCATGATCCTGCGAAGCGTCAGGTAGCGGATAGCTTCAACTGAGACGTTGACCCAACTGGAGATGGAGTGGCTTAGAACTATTTCAAGAAAGCAGCTGCGACGTCATGAGAGATATCGATGCATTTTGATAGAATTGATCCTCCAGCGTAGGATGGGAGCTGGACATGACATTGAGCTGAGGGCGGATGAGGAGAGGGATTTGGTGGCTTGTGGCGTTGTCTCAGGATCTCAGCCCTGGGGGATAGTTAGAATAGAGACAAGGGTCATCCCAGTGACGTCGGGATGACTTGTGCAGCTTATTGCTAAAAGGAATTGAATGTTGAGTGCTGGCTGGAGGTTTAGGTGGCTGGCTACCTTGGGCTGGGGAATTGATGTACATGCCTACCAGCTGGCATGTAGAGGGGACGTCTTTATTTTAAGGTATATATATCATAGAGCTCGAAGAATATGACCAAATCGAGAAGGGCAAGGTATTTCGGTTGTAGGAGCAGAGGCCAAGAGCGGAGTATGATTGATGGCCTTGATCACATGCAAAGAAATAGACACAATACGACCAAAAGAAGAGAAGAAGCGGTGACGGAGGAACAAGAGAAATTAATAATTGTCCGTATCTGAGCGGTGATGGAAATAAATTGGTGGATGTTCCGTTGTTGGTTTAGCCTCCGACATACATAATAAGCCAGAGCCCAGACTTGAGTTAGCTAAAGGTATGCTGTGTGTGAACCTACTGTATGCCTCTTTGTCGATGGCAGAGTTGTCACGGAGTATAAAGTACCTCATATTAGATCTTGGTCGACAATCCAAAGATTGGGAGCCTCTCATGATAACTCAGTAGGTAAGCAGGTAGGTAGGTAGTGTATCAAGGCCAAGCCATGACATGATGACTCGGACCTGGCAGGTTCACGGACAATCGGCACCATTAATACTGGAGCCAAGAGTCGAGACCGAATTGCCTATTCTGAAAGGAACCGAGTCGAGGGGACTTGGATGTCATGTAAGGAATTTAACACGAGGGCATATGTAACCTTAGGGCGAGGTAGACTACCCTGACCAGTAGAACTCTCTCGTATATACTTACGGAGCTCTGGAAAAGAGGCTAATAGAGAACACCCAACGGATAAGGTAAAGTCAGATACGGTAGCCTTCTGCCAGGTTTAAAAACAACAATACGTACGGAGTATGGAGTAAGTAAGAGGCATTTTCTTCTGTTGTGCTTCAACCAACAACACGAGACGAGATGAGACAATTCAAGGCAAGGTACCTTTTATTAGCTCAATCAAATTCGGGTTCATCCATTTATTAGTTGACTACCCTCGGGCAAAAAAAAATACATGAGACTGGCTTACACCAAAATCCAGTCTCGTGTTTTATTCCCCCCCCTAGACTGGTAATCTAGGTCGAGAGATGGTATGGTCGAATACGTGTCCCCCAGTCACGGAATCGGCACGGCAAAAAAGGCGCCCCAATGCTTATTCATGGGTGGCTCTAGTGGCCTAGTCCTGGAATCTGGAGTCTAGAGGCCAAGGGACAGGACAGGCCTGACTTATTTGGGGGGCCCTAGTGGAGGTAACTTGGGTAGGTACTAAGGCAGACATTGTGAATGGAAGGATGGAAAGCTGCCCTGAGCAGAAGAAACACAAGGAGTGAGCTTATTCTCAACTGTATAGCATTAAAACAAGGGCCATTTCCCTTTTTCGGCCTTTTCTGTTTTGTTTCCTTTCTCGTTCTTCTTACTCCTGAGTTCTACCTGTTTCGCGGGACATAAGACGAGATTAGAAGACGAAGCAGAGGAGAAAGAGAGAGAAGAAAAAAAGCAAGCAAGCCAACCAGGGAAGTCCAATTGTTTTCTCCATGGATGATACTTGATTTAGTATCACGATCACTCCTGAGTTCTCGTACCTCATCTTGTTTAATTCAACTTCTCGTCTCGTCTCGTCTCGTCTCTTTTATTACCGAGCTGGGTTTAATTTGAATCGCTTCTCCTCCTATTACCTCTCTTTATATTCTGCCTCACGTGCCTCTACGGTCAACAATCAACAAACTCACTTCTGTCTCTCCTCCCACCATCAGCCAATATATACTTTCATCAGAGTACTCCACCGACCGATCACAGACGGATCCTCTAGCGTTCCTTGTCCCACATTCACGGCTCAGACGGTGCTGACACTTGATACCGGGGCTTGGCCGTGGCTTGGCCGGGGCAGTCGTCAGAAACCGAATCTGGAGTACGAGCTGAGCAATCATTGAAGAGCAGTAGGACGGAAAGAAAAGGAGAGAAGGAAGAAAACACAGTGGGAATGGTCACGGCGAATATCGAATGAAGCAGCGAATCTAAGCCACGAGCCGACACGACGACTTATAACACCGTTGAAAAAAAGGGGGATCGAGAACGGGTTTCATTCATGCTACCAACCATTTTCCACTCGAGAGCTGAGCTGAGCTGAATCTGTGGAAGCGAGCAAGCTGTACATATCTGAAACGATAAACGGCGATAATAAGCTCCAACCCTTGAAGTCATTTCGCGCTGAAACGGGCGACGACGCTCTTAAAAAATTCTTACAACATCAACAGATTAACTTGAGAGAGAGGTATACTCAAGACAACAAAGTTGAAATAGGGCATATCCGTTCCTGGTTTTCACTACGTCACTTTTGGTTTGTTCGTTCCCCGCCCTATCAAGCATCCCCACCAATCCCACGACGGTCTGCAACCCCCCAAAGCTACAAGCGGAATCAACCTTGGCCCTCGCCCCTGGGACACCTATTACAGGACACTTTGTGGGTGTTATCGCTAGGAAATCCGCCTGAGCTGAGCGCCTAAGACGCCTGGACACACCACACCGCACCACACCCTTCCAGCCCAAGTGCTTAAGGTACCTACCTACTACAGCTCCAGCACCCCCGCTGTCGATCGATCTATCACCCTCCATAACTTTTGAGACTGCAGTGCTGTGTGTGACAGGGAGCTCCAGCTGTTGGAGCCCCAGTCCGGCCGAGCCAAGGCCCTTTCTTCGTCATGGTGCGCATCATCCCAACACGGCTCAAATCGACCTCTCGATCCTCCTCTTCTTCCTCCACAACCATACACTCCGTCAGCAACACCAACGGAAGAACCAAAAACAACCGCAGCAACAGTCCTCCCATGCGCTCGAAAAATGATAGCACGAGCCCTTCGAGGGACGCTGGAAATGGTCTGGCCCTTAGAGTTTATATTATAAAGGTACTATGCATATCGATTGTCCCTTGGTACTTATGCACTTCACGCCCTCTTATACGAGCTAGCTGCAGGTCTCTCCAGCCATCATCGCTCTCTGCCCGGTCTAATCGGCGCAGCAGTAAGGCAGCGAGAGAACAACCGAGTGTGAATTCATTCCACCTGACTTGTGCTAACATCTTGCCAGGGAAAAGACCTTGCAGCCAAGGATCGAAGCGGCACATCCGATCCTGTAAGTTCCTCTCTCGCTCGACACCGTGTCCCCAATGCTGACAGTTGAACTTCAGTACCTCGTTCTCTCTAGCGGCGACTCTCGAATCGTAACCAACGATGTTCCCAAGACTCTTAACCCGGAGTGGAACGTCACCGAAGAGATTCCCCTCACATCTGTCCAGAACTTGGTCCTGGATGTCATCTGCTGGGACAAGGACCGCTTTGGAAAAGATTACATGGGTGAGTTCGATCTCGCTCTCGAAGAGATCTTCAACAACGACAAGGTGGAACAGGAACCTGCCTGGTACCGTCTCAAGAGCAAGCGTCCCGGCAAAAAGACGAGTGTTGTCTCTGGTGAAGTCCAGTTACAGTTTTCACTCTTTGACTCGACGAACCCGTCAGCGACACCGCAGCAAATTCTCGAAAAGTTCCAAGCCCTTGTAGGAACCGCCCCCGCTGGCTCTCGAAACGTAACACCCTCGATGACACCAAACCTGGCGCCCACAGGTTCCCAATCCGCCCCCAACCCTCAGGATAGCCCTAGTGACGATGACGATGACGATTTCGATGATGACGACTCCGATGAGGGTGATGAGGACGAAGGTGAACAAGATGCTACCAAACGCAAGCGCCGACTTCGAATTCGAGGACTGAAGAAGAGGAGACGCAACAACCCTTACGCCTTTGCCAGCAGTGGCTCTGACGTTGTTGGAATCATCTACCTTGAGGTCATCAAGATCACAGACCTGCCTCCCGAATCCAACCTTACACGCACAAGCTTCGATATGGACCCTTTCGTTGTGGCATCCCTCGGCAAGAAGACATACCGAACTCGACGCATTCGCCATGACCTCAACCCCGTCTATAACGAGAAGATGCTGTTTCATATCCAAAGCCACGAGCAGCAGTACTCTTTCGCTTTTACTGTCATCGACCACGATAAATACTCCGGCAACGATTTCATTGCTTCGTGCGATCTTCCCATCCACCAATTGATCGAGAGAGCCCCCAAAGCAAACCCAGAAACCGGACTCTATGATCTCCAAGTCCCTGCACAGGCCGAACCGCTTCCTTCGCGATCGCGATTCAAGAAGCTCGCCATGTCACGATCCAACTCTTCCTCCAGTATCAGCAAGATGATTCGTCCTCCACTGAGCAAGCACGCCTCCAACACAAGCATGGCATCAGCGACTCCCGCCCCTGCTCCCACCTCAGCACCCGATCCTAATAAGCTGGCACCGGCGGATGTCCTCGCCAATACTGGTTCTGATCCTGACTCGACCAACATGGACAGCGGAGATGCCGACTTTTACGAGTATAACGTTCCTCTGAAGATGAAGAACACCGAAAAGTGGGAGAAGAAGCACAACCCCGTTCTTTACCTCCGTGCGAAGTACATGCCATATGATGCCCTCCGACAACAGTTCTGGCGAGCCATGCTTCGGCAATATGATGCCGATGAGAGTGGTCGCATCAGCAGAATCGAGCTCACAACAATGCTCGAGTCTTTGGGTTCTACGCTTACCGAGAATACCATCGACGGCTTTTTCAAGCGATTCCCCCATCGTGATGCTGATAACGACGAGAATTGGGAGCTTACGATGGATGAGTGCGTCATTTGCCTGGAGGACCAACTGGAAGGACGAAGGCGATCCTCAGGCACTGCTGCAGATAAACTCAAGGGCTTGGTGCCTGATATGAAGAACCTCCTCCACGTGCCTGGTCATGGACACAACAACGGTGGCTCAGAGACCCCCAGTGTTCTAGAACTGGACTCGACGTTGGGAACTCAGACTCCCATCTCAAACGTCCCCACTTTGAAGACACCTGCAGATGAGGAGGGCGATCCCCTCGACAAGTCTGACAGCAGTGATGACCGTTCTGAAGAGCACGTCGTAGAGATCCGAGAATGTCCTATCTGTCACCAGCCGCGACTCAACAAGCGCAAGGATGCTGACATCATCACCCATATTGCGACATGCGCAAGCCAAGACTGGAGGCAAGTCAACAGCGTGCTCGTGGGTGGATTTGTCACAGCCAGCCAGGCGCAGCGCAAGTGGTACTCGAAAGTCATTACCAAGATCTCTTACGGTGGTTACAAGCTGGGTGCCAACTCGGCCAATATCCTTGTGCAAGATCGTCTCACGGGGCAGATCAACGAGGAGAAGATGAGTGTTTATGTAAGACTCGGCATTCGTCTGCTGTACAAGGGACTTAAATCTCGAGATATGGAGAACAAACGAAGTAAGCAGAGTGCTCGCCTGCAAAACCAGCATTACTGACAAGGCTACAGTCCGAAAACTACTCAAAAATCTGAGTATTAAGCAGGGTAAGAAGTTTGACGACCCTGCATCCAAGGATGAAATTGAAAAGTTCATTGCTTTCCACGGTCTCGACATGTCGGAAGTTCTGCTGCCGTTGGAGGAGTTCAACAACTTCAACGAGTTCTTCTACCGCGCCCTGAAGCCTGGCGCTCGACCCTGCTCTGCGCCCGACAACCCTCACATCATCGTCTCACCAGCCGATTGTCGGAGCGTCGTCTTCAACTCTATCACAGTCGCTACCAAGATTTGGGTCAAGGGTCGTGAATTTAACATGAAGAGGCTTCTCGGCGACGCATACCCTGAGGATGTGTCTCGGTTTGAGGGCGGAGCTCTGGGCATCTTCCGACTAGCTCCCCAGGATTATCATCGCTTCCACATCCCTGTGGACGGTGTCATGGGCAAGCCCAAGACAATTGAGGGCGAATACTACACGGTGAACCCTATGGCTATTCGATCGGCTCTGGACGTTTACGGAGAGAATGTGAGAGTTCTCGTGCCAATTGACAGTGAACATCACGGACGCGTCATGGTAATTTGTGTCGGTGCAATGATGGTAGGCAGCACTGTCATTACCCGCAAGGAGGGCGAGAAAGTCTACCGAGCAGAAGAGCTGGGATACTTTAAGTTTGGTGGCAGCACGATTCTGCTGCTTTTTGAACCTGGACGAATGGTGTTTGACGATGATCTTGTCGACAACGGCAAGGATGCACTTGAAACTCTGGTAAGTACTTCACATTGGTGAGTTGCACAGTTACTGATTCCCTGTGAAGGTCCGAGTTGGCATGTCTGTTGGCCACACGCCTAGTGAGCCACAGTGGACTCCTGATATGCGAAAGAAGGCGGAGAACATCACGGAAGCGGACAAGAGAGCTGCCAAGAGACGGATCCAGGGCAACGTAGCCTTGCAGGAGTCTCCAGATGGTAGTGGAGAGGAAGAGCAGCCATCAAGATTAACATCCAAGCCCACCATCGATACAATGGCTGCGTCGGCGATGTAGAGACGTCGGCATACCACGCGGAAGCGATGTAGGCGGAGAAGCCGCCGGTGGACACGGAGACGACGGGGGGTATATTCAACATTAAGCAGGGCATGTAGACGGTGGATAGGTAGCCTCCAGAGACGTGTAAATATAGCCATTGAACTGGTTATCGATGGATTTATATGAGGACAAAGGAATACATGTTCGGTCCTTGGCCATTGGACGAGGAGAAACAGGATAGGATATAACTTTAGGCATGAGAAACGAAACGACGTAAACGAAAAAGCGAAGCGGATACAAACGGACAGCAGCACAGACACTTTTCTTTACATTAGTGCATATATGCTTAACTATTCAGTGATACATTGTAATGCTTGGTGTTAGTGTTACATGGAGCCCTATCACATAGGACCAACTTGCATACGCCAGTCACCAGTCAACCTTCTCACACCAGTAGACCCATGATGAAGCAGGATAGGCCAACATCCAAAAGTTGAGCAGTTCGGTTCGGAAATAGGTCAGGTCCAAGTACGTGAGATCGGTGGGGATGCCGAACCGATCCCAAGGAAAAGCACTTTTTGCTCTAGCTCTTCGAAGGAATTGGAGAACCAGCTAGGTTGAAATCTGGGGAGGGCTAAAGATGAAGTTGGGGTATGGTTCTATGCCTGGTATAAATAGCAATGCGCGACTTCTTCCTTGCTTCGCCCAAAGATAATCAGAAAATCCATGCTTGGTCAATTTTCTATGCTGATGCTGAACATACCATAGGTACCTTGGGTAATTTTGATCGAGTCTTGTCGTGATGACACGTGATGAAATACCATTTCAGGGTAGAGTTCACCAGCCACAGCGAGTCCCTTGAGCACCCCGCAAAAGAGAGACATTGGCGGCGCACCCCGATTACAAGGGGTGTTCAATGTGGGCAGATGGTCATGCCACTGTTGTCGATTTCGAGTCATGGGTTGCCAGGGTTAAACGATGGGAGATAAAAGATAATGATATTTGATTCAGAATATTGAGTTTCATTTGGGTATCTAGTGTGAAAAAGAGGTTGCTGATTTCAACCACTGAACAATTTAAAAGACAAATGTAAAAAAGAAAAGCCTCTGTCCGAAAGGTCGGTCTCTGTCCAGTCCGTACTTTTACATGGCGCCTTAAGAATATTGTATTCCATCAGAAGAAATGATGATTCGCATGTCGGTTTCTGGCGTTTTCTCATCCGAACGTGGGGCACGCAAACCTGGGACCAGATTTCGTGATTGACACCTTGTGGTCCCACGTTGGCATACTGACCCCACAGATCTGGGCTGTTTTGATGCATCTCGTCTGAGTGAGGGTTTGTTGGCAGATCTTTTGATGAAACCTTTTGCAGGTGTACCGAGAGGCGTCAAAAAAGAGGTGCTGGGGTCTTCCAGAACCTCGCAGATTGGGGGTAATGTGAAAGAGGAAGCTTAGCGACGGCTTCAAATCCCGTCCAGCATAACAAAGTCGTATGCGCCAGATGCTATGTCCGTGTCCTGAATGCAAAAGTTCGACCCCTTTCATAAATCATGGGTAAATAAGGCAAAATCGCAAGTCTTTGTGTTTCCTCAGTGACGACTGTTGGGGTGCCATTCTGTGTCTGAAGCGTTCGAAGGGCGTCGCTCTGATCGCTGAGCAGGGGGTGAAGGGGATCGCGATATGGGACGACCGAACATAGACGAAGGAGTCTGTGTTGGGGGAGCCAGGTCGGGAGAAGGTTGTCGGGTCTGACGCCAGGAAGCGTAGATCTGCTTGCAGAGGTGGGCGGTCATTGTGTAAGTCATGTTTTGGGATAATAAGTCTGAAAGCGAAGACTAATTATGAGAATGGTTGTGGTCGTGGAGTGTAGGTAGTAGTCGAGGTCGAAGAGTGGTTCGTAAGCAGAAGGCCCAAGAGAGTTGAGTTATATAGACGAATATTGTATGAGTACCGAGGTAGGTTTGATATTCTATAGTATATTGAATTATGTGTAAAGTCAAAGTCAAAGAAAACAAGTCGACGGACTGAGAAGTGCAGACCTTGTGCTTAAGTACCTACTACCTACTACTTGCCTTCCATGGTAGGTTGCCTCAACCTAATGAGGTGCCAGGTGCCCCTTCCATATGCCAGCACGTCGGTACCTGGAGTGGACCTGACTTGCCTGCCATGCTCCAACTCTTCCGTTTGTATCCTTATGGGGTCGTCCTCATCAACCTACCTAAGGGAAAGTGCAGTACGTACCCGCACCTGCCACTCAAGGTAAACAATGAACTGCTTCCGAACCGAAGACTGGGCAGGCAGGAGATCCCGAATGGGAAGGGAATGAGACAGCTGACCAATCATAACCTCGCTAATTGTCAGAAACGCCCGACTTTTGGGCTGATGTGGCAGTGAATCGTATGACCTTGGCTTGGGCCACTGGTGGCTCAGAGAGATTACCCCTGTCTTACCAACAAAGTCTGTGTCTTCCAAGTCGGCTTCTAGATCTTCTACTTCCTTCATCCAACAAGGTTGAGAGCAAAGGGGCTCCTTTCTACCGTCCTTGCCTTGTTTTCAGTGAAGGATGGATTTAGAGAACTTGTTTCTTTGCTGACTCTTCCCCCCTTGTCCTTGTTTTATCACTACGATAATTCTTTGTTCTAAAACCCAACCTCAACCATAAACTGTTGACAGAAGTGTATAAGGTGGGGGAGGGTCCGAATCGTCTGTTGCTGACACCATTCGCCTTCTTTCTTCCTCATTTTGACTTTGACTCTTCAGAATGATCCGTTTCGTGTTCGTTCTTGACCTCGACCGTTAGCCCATGGCCCATTTTTGATTATCTTAGTTGCCGATCATATGTCCCAACTCTCTGATGCTATCCACTCATATCCAACAAGCAAATCGTTTCGCAACATGAGATACGTAGACCAACAAGTGTGACCCGATCTCTTTTGTTGGGCATTATCTCCTCATTCTCGCCCCAGTCGATCGTTTCTACTGGCTGAAATACCATACTGCATACACGTGGGAGCACGCCGAACTGGTATATTCAGCTTCATTGCAGTTGTACCTCAGCCTTGCACAAAAATTACCTACGGAAATTTGACTCTTTAACTACTCCAACTTTTCACATGAGACCCTTTCCCAATAGACGCCAGGTATATCATCCGTGCCTACAGTATGAACCGCGCTCTGGCAACAAAACACCATGAGCATCCCAAGAATAATCAGACCCGCTTTAAAGAATGCATTTTTGCCCGAATACCAGTCGGCTAGTATAAATTCATCTCCTCAGGAGTAAGCTCTACCAACCATGATGTCACCCACTGGTCTTCCAGAGAAGGTCGCATGTCCTGCGTTCATTCCTACACCTTCTCGCACCACGCCCCAACGAACCTCGAGTGTTTCCACGCCGCCCTCTCGCGCTACTCGGTGGCATCGTGCGCTCAGAACCGCCGAACACGTTCCGCCTACTAAGGCGAGTGGGTTACCGGCCGGTTCTCCGCCTTCAACGGAACCACGGGGATCCACCTGCCGGAGTGCTAGACCAGCAATGCCGAGACCGAGTAGCACGAGTAGAACGAGGAGGATGAGTAGCGGGAGGGGGCTGAAGCCAATTCCCGTCGTGGTTCCCTTGATGCCGTCCACTGACACGAGAAGAATACCCTGACTGAGGAGAAAAGCCATTGCGGTAACAAGAAAGAAGAGTATCCAGGATACGGGCCGAGGCAAGGTGAGATATAGTGAAGTCGTCTGTGAACCGAGTGGCTGTCCTGAAGACACGCGCAGAGGAAGCAGGTCCGATGTAAACTGCGAGAGCTCGTGAGACAGGTAGAACAGGGTGAGCAGCGCATTACTGGAAAGGTACAGCAGACCCAAAAGGAGCTGGGGCAACGCAGCCACAACGGCTATACCAGACCTTGACGTTCCTGCGGGCAGCTCATATACCACTGCCGCCTTGCCGAACCTAGTAAAGGCCTCCTTGGGTTCCTTCACAGCCCCCAGTGCCAGAGCCGCAGCTGCCAATCCGACAGGCATGATCCATGTCATGAACCAAATAGCCCATCGGTTGAATGATGGAACATTGAACCAGCGGCTTGTCTTGGCATACCAGTACTTGCCCTCTCGGTCTCCCCATAATCCCTTATTGATCTCTTCCTTGGTGATGAGGCATGAATTATGAGTGCTGACATCGGGATCGGCGAGGAACGAGCTCAGAGCATCACCCAGTGTGACGAGTGGGCTAAATACTTGTCTGGTGAGTGCTAATGCGACAGCGATGGCATACGTGAGGATGAGAACAACATTAATTAGCGTGATAGCGGCGAGAAGAGGCCCATTGACATTAAGCGATGACTTAGAATTCTCTGCGTGTTCAGTAGTAATAATTATGGAATTGTATCTTTAATTCGTCAGTGACAATATATGTCTTCAGATTTTGGGTTGCATACATTACTTGGGAAAGGAGGGCAAACACCATCATGATACCTGACAGCGTTGCCCTGGTCGAAGAGATGAGTGACATGTTTCGTAGAGATGGGATACCGATGTCGAGCCACTTAAAGGTTGAGTGGGCGTTCTCTACCTCAGCCCGAGTCGGGCTGTTGAGGATTTGAACGACGTAGTTGGCTCCAGCGATGAGAATGATGGCAAACACATTCACGGCCGCCAAGATCCCTCTAGCAATACCTTCGACTGTAGTCGAACTACCCTCCATTAACAACGACTCCCATGTTGACATATGTCCCTGGGCCGAGGCGAGAGCGAGACAAGCCACAGAAGCCACAAGAATCAGGAAAGCCAGAAACATGTTGGCTGCAACACCAGCTCTCCATCCTGTCATGAGAGATCGGGTAGGCTGCGGTCGTTCTTCCACGAGCATCTTCTCCCGTTCCGCCCTCGGAGTACCCGGCCTCGAGTTGTCGGGTGTACTTGAAGCCGAGTGAATAAAGTCGAGTTGAGATTCCTGTGGGCGTTGAAACTGTCCGGGCTCAGGACTATCGGGGATGCGGTGTCTTCGAGCGAGAGTCTCCGGCGTCTCGCCGCGCATGAAGTTGATCACATAGTCAGGGATGATGTCGCTACCAAGAACGCTAGAGACAGAACGACTTATGCTGCCGGCAGCACGGCGAGGAAAAGAGCCCGAACTGTGCGGGATAGAGCGAGAGTTGGACGGTCTGCGAGGGTAATTGGGAATGGAAGATCGTGAGTTGCTGAAGCTGTGAAAGGGCCATCTGACGGTCTGCCGTCCTGAGGAAGTGGTGAAGCCTCGAGTCCGACTAGTCGGGGGTCGTGTAGTCGTCGCGGAGCCAGGCTCTTCTGAGATACTATCTCGGATTAGTTAGATGTCGTAGTCAGACATGACTTCTGTTGTTTGAATACCTTTCGAAGTTTTCAAAGTTCATGACTGAGCCTGGCTTCTCCCACACCCATGGTCTAAATGACCGGGTAGAAGGAGGCCCCTCCATCGTATATGCGATTTGGTTTATGAGATGACGGAGTTTGAGGTTTGATTTGTGCAGAGGCTGTCATACAATAAGGCGAAGTTGATTCGGAGGTGTAAGCCAAGGGGGATCGGTCATGTACGACACTCGTTGGGTAACAGTCAAAGTATGAAGGCGTGTTGATCACTGGGTGATATCTGAGGTGAAAATGATGCTGTATGGTCAAAAAGGGTGGAAAGACTACGATGATGAGCGCAGCTCGCCTCAAGGATAGCAAATATAGCAAGGAAACGACAGACTAAACATAAGCGTAAATGAGTGTAAGAAACGAACGAATAACCAACGGTCGACAGACCATAACGAATGAAAAAAAAAAAGGCTCGTAAGATAGAAGAGAAAGAAGAGGGGAGAAAAGACCAGGAAGTCGTTGGACCAAAAGAGACGAGACACGCTCAAGATCTCGTAACCAGAGAAGTGGTCGAGGGATCCTAGGCTGTACAAGGATTCCGCATGGGACCCTAGCATGAGCCTTGCAAGCATTTGCATGAATTAGATGGACGGGTGGAAGCCAATCAACCGAGCCTGATGTCAACGGGTAGCCCGCAGACGAAGGTCGTGCTTCTGTTTCGACATCAGCTATGATTACCACGCCCACGGCGAGGAGCCCAGGAGCCCAGGAAATGGAATGAGCATCAACCCACACATTGATATGCCGGGTCGTTTCGTTGCTTCAACACGGACGAGAGAACGGTTGAGTGTTCGTGATGGCTGGGTAGCAAAGAAGCGATCGAATCTGTGGTCTGTTGTCCTCGCATTGCCAGCTCAGCATCCATGTTCGCACATATAACTCCTGTATTAAGACAGACGAAATGCAGATCTCACAGCCCAATGACGAAGGCGATGACTGCACAACTGCTACGGAGTACGTCAACCACATTATCTAGACTTCAACGCAGCCTAGACCTAATGCGAAGTTTCTGGATTTAGCATCATCACGGCCTGATCAGTGAGCGCATCACCCCCTCATGTCAGATACGACCCTCAAGGAAGCCTCGACATGAGGCTGTGCATTCAAGACGGGAATAAAAGCGGACTCGAGAGACTTGTGTGCGAATAGAATGGCTCGAACCGCATCCGGTGAAACGACTAAAAAGAAAGAAACGCGCACAGAAGTTGACAAGAGTAAAATATTAATTGAAAGCTGAAGCTGAAGACGTTGGAGATGCAAGAGGTTGTGCTCCCCCTGTTGCCCCATAGGGCATGGTTCGCGTTTCATGTTTCCCAAAGCAGAATAGCTCATGTTGCAGGCCGAATTAAGGACTCCAAGTCGCGGACCAACCGAATCTCACGGTTTTGACCAAAACGAA